CTTCCCTTTGATGTCAGTATTAAATAAAACTGAAAGCTTTTTCTGAGGGGAAAATACTATGATGTGCATATAAAATTATTTCCAAAAGGTTTATATCTGTAATCAGATTTTAGAACCTCAAAGAAGCCGTACTTTTAAATTTTCATTTTGGTTATATCAACAAAGGAACTCAAAATTGCATGTTATAGACCTATAGAAAAAGACATTTACTTTTTAAATTAGATTTTTTTTTGGTCAATAGCTAAATGGCAGAGTATTACATTTAAAATGGCAATTTAAAGGTGCTAAGTCTCTACTTTTATTTTTTAATAATAAAACGTTATGCCCCCCAGGAAGAAAGTCAGAGTAGATAACTTTGCAGTGTACATGGTGACTTCTTGCCAGCCATTCTTTTACACATATTTGAGTTGGAGACCCTACTTATTTTTTAATTTTCTTTAAGGCAACAGTTCTCAAAGCTTTACTGTTTATAAAGTCATGTGAGTATGTGTGTGTGAAAATATTGCTGCAAGGAGAGTTTGTCCACATAACCTGTTCTTCAGAGATTTTGATAAAACTCTGGGTAACAGCTGTGCCTCGGGGGTTTTGGTTTCTCAAGTCAGAAACCAAATTTGTTATTTCAAATCTGATCATGGTTTCTTGGATTTAGACAAAACGTGCCTGTCCTTATTATCTTAGTGGGTTTGGGAGCATCTTTGCAAGGACTTATCTTCTGTGTTGGCGTTTTAATCATTTGTGGGGCCAGCAATTGCAGGAGGCTGTACGGAATGCTTCCGACTATATGAAAGGAATTACTTCCTGAGTGTTATTACATATCTGAGTGTGTGTGTGTGTGTGTGTGTGTGTGTGTGTGTGTGTGTGTTTGATGGCATCATAAGTCACCTCTCCTTATCCTAGGTAATCAGCACATTTACTTTGAGTGCATGCAATTTTTTTCCTAGGAAAGCGGTCTGAATGGGACCTCTGATTCTCCCTGATCTTTTATGAATTTCCCTGGAAACGCATAGCGATGTGCTTAGTTGTGGAACAATTACTGTCAATGGAAGAAGAGAAGCTTTTAGAAAGCAGACACGTTTTCCAGCAATTTATACGTGAAGCATATTGCACTCCCTCAGCCCATCTATGCTAATAGAGCGAAGGAGAAGTTCAGAGCACTCACTTAAGTAAAAATGCCCTGTTACATAGACTACAAAGAACATGCAAAGGCAGGAGACGTCCAGTAACAATCTTCTAGACCAGTGGTTCTCAACCTGTGGGTCGCGACCCCTTTGGGGGTCAAACGACCCTTTCACAGGAGTCGCCTAAGACCATCGGAAAGCACATATATAATTACATATTGTTTTTGTGATTAATCACTATGCTTTAATTATGTTCAATTTGTAACAATGAAAATGGGGGTCACCACAACATGAGGAGCTGTATTAAAGGGTCGCGGCATTAGGAAGGTTGAGAAACACTATTCTAGACAGTTCAGCATTACCCATCTGTTTCCTATTTTGCATTGATAAGCTGATCTGAGGCCTCTGGATGTTTCTTTACTTTTAAAAGGTGGATCCCCAGTGCCCTGACCAGCTCAATGATGAACTAAAAATGTAATTTGACACTGAGGCAAACTCCAGTGGAGTTTGATGCCTTGCAAACTCCAATTGCTGTAACAATGCAAGGTAACAGGCAAGCAGAAGAAAGGTAACTGGATTATTGAATCTAGCAGTAAGATTATTGTTTTGATTAGCTTTATAGACGGAGGAAAGCTAATGAAAATGTACAGTAGATGGTAGAGGTAAAGTCTAAGAAAGAGTAGAGATCTTTGGAAATACTCTCTACTCTTCCCATTTTAACTTTTTGGAAACCTACTTTCAGAAAGTTGAGTGGAATCAAGCAAATCTCATTAACAACAACAGCAACAAAACTTGTCTAAGATACTTGAGTGAAGGATTCCTTAGGCATTTCGGTGGGTTAGGAACACAACCTGTGTAACCCAAGTAGCAGATCAGGTTCAGCAAACTTCAGTTTGCCTCTGTCCAGTTTCTGTGGGTAGGGTACAAAGGAACACTGACCAGTCTTCTCAAACAGTGTGTTCATGGGTGGGTTACGAATAGACAATGTTTACTCTTCCAAACCATTTCCATTCCTGCCCACATCTATAAGTAATCACCCATCCTATTATTAGCCCATTTAAAAATATGAACTACATAAAGTAAATTGATTTATGGAATCATATAAGCTTTATGCATGCAGCATTACCAACCAGCAGGGTATGTACTGCATCATGCTCACCACCAAATGTCTAGCTTCCATCTGTCACTATACACCTCTATTGGCTTTGCCCTCCCCCTACCCTCTTACCCTCCAGTAACCACAAATCTGTTGTGTGCCTCCATAAGTCTGTTTTTGTTTTGTTTTTATATTTCACATCTGAGTGAGTGAAATCATAGGTATTTGTCTTTTTCCATCTGACTTATTTCACTAAGCATAATATCCTCTTAATCCAAGGAATGAAGACAACCGAAGTGTCCATTAATGGATGAATGATAAAAAAGATGTGCATATACACACACACACACACAATGGAATACTACTCAGCTATAAACGGTGAAATCTTGCCTTTGCAACAACATGGGTGAACCTTGAAGGGTGTATTTATTGATAAGGCCAGAGCCTAATTATAGAAGTCACCATAGTGTTTCTTTTTTAAAAATATATTTTTTATTGATTCAGGAAGGGAGAGGGAGAGAGAAAAAAAATTGATGAAAGAGAATCATTGATCGGCTGCCAGCCTACTAGGGATCGAGCCCACAACCTGGGACCCTTCAGTCTGCAGGCCAATGCTCTATCCACTGAGCCAAACCAGCTCAGGCACCATAAGTGTTTCTTTAATCCAGGGATGGGGAACATCCAGTGTGTGAGTTATATAAGGCCCAAGAAATAATTTGGTCTGGCCCTGCCAAGGCGTTAGGGGTGAGTTAAATATCTGACCAAATATTGCAGGCTAATTTTTAAATTGATAATTTTGTATGGCCTGCGAGTAATGTTATAAATATCCAAATGGTCCTTGGCAGAAAAAAAGATTCCCCACCCCTGCTTAATCTATTGTATATTTTTAATCAATGAAATCGGAATGAAAATGATCTGTATTATCTAGTGCACTGCTGGAGGTCATTCAAGCTACCTTATTTTTCTGGAATTTTTAAAAGAAAAGTTGAAATTCGTCTTATAAAAGCTGGGATAGAAATTTTTCTGTTTGATTAAATTGCCTAGACATGCAGTATTGTAACATATTAATATCAGCCTCTTTTGAAAATAATCTTCACAGCAACCCAGGGGCAAGCTGTCATTTGAGACTTTGGGAACTAGCAATTATTAAAAAGTTCTTACTGAGGTAACATTTGACTTCAGGAGGTATTTCTTTTTTATGCCATTAAAATCTGTGCTTCTTTGAAAGCAATATTAGTGATCATTCAAAAGAAAAGCATCAATTAACTTCACATTAAACTTTTCCTCAAGACAATGCAGACTAGATTTTATTGGAATTTTCATGTGTTGTATTTCTCTACGTATAGTGGGCTGCCAAGAACCTTAATAATGTAAATTTTTAAGTACAAATGACTCCCTACAAGGCCTTTTGTGATTATTAATGGAATCAATTATCTGTTCAGTGAAGTTACAATGGCTTGAAATAACAGTTAATAATGAAAGACTGAGGTAGATTTTAAATATAGTGTGTTTATGTTTAACAATACACATTCTATTATACAAAAAAACCAATGAGAAAATTTGGTGGGGACAATGCCTTTTCACTTTCTTCTTATCATTAAGAAACTCTTCCTGTGAGTGTATTTGTTTTGTCATTTTCTTATCACAGGAAAGTAGGCTGGTATGTTTCAGAAGAGCCACCGATTTCCCCAGACTAGGAACTGAAATTCTATTATGCTGCCCAAGTTATTTTCAATCAGAAAACTGGGAGGTTACACTGTTGGTGGAATTGTTTGAGGCCAGCCCCTTGCCGAGGGCCTCCAAATCGCTTTGCAGTATAGGATATTCTTCTCTGAGTCTCAATGACCACAGGTCTTTACAGCAAGAAGACCTGAGCGCCCAGCGGTGTTCATGGTACTTCACAGCGGTTTTCTGAGGGAGAGCAGAGCACCCGGAGCTGCTGGTCTGGGCAATAGGAAGGGTGTGTGGCTGAGAGTCTGACCCGTGAACGACTCCCCACCACCCTGGCCCCAGCCCCTTGAAACCTCCTTTCTACTTCCTCTCTCTCTGAGTTTGACTACTTGAGATCCTCATATAAGTGGAGTCATGCAAGGTTCGTCTTTTTGTGACTGGCTTCTGTCACTCAGCTTTGTGTCCTCAAGGTTCATCCATGCTGTAGGCTGTGACAAGGTTTCCCTCTTTCCTCAAGGCCGGGTACTGTCCCATTGTGTTTCTCTGCCATGTCTTTATCCGTCTGTCAGTGGACACGTAGCTCGCTTCCACCTCTTGGCTATTGTGAAGGACTCTCTTCAGACATTGAAATTCAGTTGGAAATCAGGAGTTGCTCCATCTCCAGTGGTATCTCATGTTGTTGCTTTGCTTTCTTTTTTCTTTTTTTTCCCCTCAGTTTTTAGCAAAGTTGTTGAAAATGTGCATGGTGCCGACTTCCTAGGGCAGTGATGGCGAACCTATGACACGCGTGTCAGAGGTGACACGCGAACTCATTTTTTTGGTTGATTTTTCTTTGTTAAATGGCATTTAAATATATAAAATATCAAAAATATAAGTCTTTGTTTTACTATGGTTGCAAAGATCAAAAAATTTCTATATGTGACACGGCACCAGAGATAAGTTAGGGTTTTTCAAAATGCTGACACGCCGAGCTCAAAAGGTTCGCCATCACTGTCCTAGGGACTCGGGTGTTTTTTTTTTCTTGTTCAATGCAGACATGTGGGTAAGAATAAGACAGTCCTGCCCACGGTCAAACCGCACAGGGCTCGGTAGCTAATGGACTGTTGTCATTGCAGGACAAGTCCGCGCCAGCCGACAAGCAGAGCAAACCGGAGGCGGCCCCGGCCACTCACGCAGCCTCGGCGGTGTCCGGCTCTCAGGAGGTGCTGTACATCAACGGCAACGGGACCTACAGTTACCATAGTTACCGAGGCCTCGGAGGGGGGCTGCTGAGCCTGAGTGACGCCTCCAGTAGTGGTGAGTCTCTATTGTAGGCTATGATTTTTATGTCCATTTGGAGGTAGTCAATTCTGTGAACCCCAGAGAAGAAAATGAATACTTTGTTAAAGCAATAGTCCGTGCCAACCTGCTAAACACAAGACCGTTTAATACAGAACCTCCATCTCGCTACAAGGACGCCCCCTGTTCCATTGCTGTTTCTGGAAGTAGTGGCACTGCTATGCAGCTGGAGGAGTGCTGTTCTTATACTGAAAATAATTCTCAACTAGAGAAACAGCCTTTTAAGACAAATAGTTTTACATTTTCCCCCCAAAGCTGTTATGTACTATTCTTCAATAGTACACATTTTCTTAATGTTTGAAGTTTTTAATTTGGAAATTTGAGGCCCAGGAACTTGACTGACTTGATGAAAAATGCATACAGAGTCCTTCCTTGTACCCAGAACCCTCCGGTTACAGTGCATCCCAGCACGGGTAGCACGCAGCTGTAAAAAGTAATGAAAAACATCTTTATATGCGCCAGGTGATGAGAAGTCCGTGTGCCAATATTCATTCAAGAAGGACTTATAAAATATCTTGAAAAGTTACATAGAGGCAGGGATGAGAGAGAACGATACGGGAAAAGGAATATAAGGCAGAATTCTCTGCTTGCACTTGTTTCTATACTTGGTTTGGTAAATTTAACTTTGGAACAGCTTTTGTATTTATATAATTAGGAATGAAATTGACTAAGAATCTCTAATGTTGAGGGGAAATGATGCGAATGAACCTCATCTGTTTAAGTGAGTGGTTGGCATCACCTCAGAGAGGAAGGGACTTCTCCCAGTGACCTCAGAACTCACGCTCCACAGCGTGCCGGCGTACAACCAACCTTAGGTTATTCCAGCAACCACTTTAGTATCCTGGTTCGGATGTCTGTGTATTGTGGTTCAAAGCAAACTTGTAATTATGTGGCGTCGGTGCACGCTGGGATTTTTCAGCAGCAGGCCAGGTAGATACAGATGTCAAATTGGTGAGTTTCAGCAAAAACTTCGCAGTCTTGTATTTGAATTGTTAGTATTGGTGAGAACTGATATTTCCTCTCTCTTTCCACTGAAAATACCTGAAAACGAAGACTAATTTGAATTCTAAAAGTTGACTGGGCTTGGTGGGCTTTTACTAGATTTGGGCGGGAGTTGCATTTTAGTGTCAGTACCTGCACAGTATTGGGAAGCTGCTGTGCGTCTCAGCAGGGGCCACTCTGCTGGGAGGCGGGACTCCTAGGTCTGCTCACAACCAAAGGTCCTCCAAGGACAGGGCCCTGAGCTTCAGTTTCTATCAGTTGCCTCCAGCTTAAAACACACATGCGTGCGTGCGTGCGCACGCGCACACACACACACACACTCACGTGCACACACACCCGAGGTGCCTCAAGTAGAAGGAAAAAGGAGCTTATTTTGGAAAGGGATGTAGTTCCCAGTGTAGGTTCAGTGAGCCTTCTCAACTGCTTTCACTTCTTAATTTTATTTGGACAATAAATCTGCAGGAAAGAGCAAATTTGAGATTAGAAAAGGAAAACATAAACAAAAGCTATAAAGCTGGAAACTCTAATATTTAAAAAAAAATACTTTATATATGAAGTAAGAACTGATAGGTAGTTCAGAGCTTAACCACCAAATCAAAAAATGGGGTGGTGGTGGGGGGGGGGGGGAATAGAGTATATTCACTAAAGATTTTATTGACACAAAACATTTTGTAATTTAGACTTTAAAGAGCATTCATCTATTAAATTGGTGTATTTAACATAAACTAATAACAATGACTACTACTTATTGAGTCCCCTCAGTGTAATATCCATTGAATCCGTACACAGTATTACGAGATAAATCCTGCCATTTGGAGGAAATTTTTATAAAATTAAAATTGCCCCACATTTAAAAATAATGCCGAGGCACCACTTCCCTTTTTCCTAACACGATTGAAGCCTATTTTGGGAGGCTCAGAGGGGTTGAGTGACTTGCCCAAAGCCCCTCCGTAAAGGGAGGGTCCAGGATTTGCACACAGGCCTCTGACATTAGAGTCCGCATTGGAAGCTACTAAGCTAATAATCTGTGTAATGGACACAAGTACTGAAGCAAGTGATCGTCTCCGGTAAGTACAATATACTGTCTGTCTCCAGAAACTCTCCGAGTCTGAACATGTCATGTAAGTGAATGCATCACATAATATGTTATCTCTTATGTCTGGCCTCTTTCACTTAGCATATTTTCAAGGTTCATCTATGTTGTAGCATGTATCAACATTGCGTTCTTTTTTATTGCCAGATGCTCTATTCTATGGATAGGCTATATTTTGTTTAACCATTCAAATTGATGGGCACTGGGATATTTTCCACCTTTTGAGTTACTATGAATGATGCTACTATATAAACCTTTGCTTTATGTGTGTGTGTGTGTGTGTGTGTGTGTGTGTGTGTAATCAATGTATTGTGTTTATAGTTAGAAGTGGAATTACTGGTTCATGTGGTAACTCTGAGTTTAACATTTTGAGGAAATAACTGAACATGAGATGGCTTTATGTTCATTTTATCCTTTTTAAATTTCTTTCAACTATGTCTCATAGTATCTATATATATAAAAGGCTAATATGCAAAGTGTCCCCTTGGGAGTTTGACCAGGAGAACAGGAGTTCAATTGCTCGCTATGATGTGCGCTGACCACGAGGGGGTGGTGTGGAACATGTTGGGCAACCAGTGGCGGCGGGGTGCTGAGGGAGCAAGGGAAGGAGGAGGTGGAGAAGAGGGGAACCTGATCCGCCCTGATCGCTGGCCAGGCCTAGGGACCCTACCAGTGCATGAATTTCGTGCACTGGGCCTCTAGTTTATAATACAAGCTTTACACTTTTTATTTTTACTGCTAAATATTTCTCTTTGTGATGCTACTGTAGATGGAATGTTTTCATTAAAACGTTAGTCTACATTTTTCTATGTTTTGGAAGAGTTTGTGAGGTGTTGATATTCATACTCTAAATGTTTCGTAGAATTCAGGAGTGGCCTGTGCCTGGGCTTTTCTGGGAAATTTTTGATTACTAACTCAACCTCTTGACTTGCTATAAAGTCCAGTTATATTCTCCGATTCCTCTTGAGAAGTTTGTTTCCAGGAATATGTCCATTTCAACTGAATTATCTAATTTATTGACGTAGTTGTTCATAGTATTCCTTTGTAATCCTTTTTATTTTTGGAAGGTCAGTAGTGATGGCCCCTCTATCGTTTCTAATTCTAGTCATTTGAGTGTTCTCCCTTTTCTTCTTGGTGATATTCTAGATAAATTTTGTCAAATGCTGCCATCTTTTCAAAGAACAGCTCTTGGTTTCATTGATTTTTCTCTATTGTTTTCTACTCTCTTATTTCATTGATTCCTATTCTCATATTATTTTCTTCATTTTTCTTACATTGTTTAGTTTCCTCTTATTTTTCAGTGGAAAATAGAAAGTTAAGACGTTTGTTTGAAGTCTTCTTTTCTCAGGCATTTACAACTATACACTTCCTTTTAAGCACTGCTGTATCTGCATCACAAAATTTTGGTATGTTGTGTTTTAGTTTTCATTAACCTCAAAGTATTTTCTAATTTAGGTATGGTGCTCAATTGCCACATATTTGTAAATTTCCCAAATTTCTTTCTGTTACCGATTTCTAGTTGTATTCCACTATGGCCAGACAACATACTTCATATAATTTCTATAATCCTGTCAAGTTTATTGAAGCTTGTTTTGTGATCCAGATCATGGTCTGTCCTGGAGAATGTGCATTCTGCTCTTGGTGGCGGGGCATTTTGTAAATGTATATTGGGCCTAGTTATTTTATAGTGTTTAAATCTCCTATATTCTTGTTGACCATCAGTCTAATTTTTATAGCCATTATTGAAAGAAGGGTATTGAAGCCTTCAAGTACTATTGTTGAATTGTTTATTGTTGCCTTCAATTCTGACAATTTTGTTTCCTTTATTTTGGGACTCTGTTGTTAGGTATTGATACGGTATATCTTCTTAATGGACTCACTCTTTTATCATTGTAAAATATCCTTTATCACTAGTAACTTTTTAAGTTTATTTTGCCTAATATTAGTTTTTTATGTAATATCAGGAAAAGACAATGGTAATTTGGATTATCGTGGTAGTACTGAAAACGAAGGTAAGTGGGCAAAGCTTTGGACATGGTAGTGACATACAGAAGAGTATGGAACAAATTGAGTATTGTTCACCTCTACTCAAATACAACCAAAATAATTTTTTTTGATCCATAAATGGCTAAGTAATTTTGGGAGCCCAATGCCAAATTAATATGTGGGCCCTTTCTATAAGCATTAAGTATTTCAAGATGCTGATAACAGAGCATTAAACAAAGTTTAGAGCTCTTCTGAGCACAGGCTCATGTGGGTCTACACATGTTTAACACCCCACTCTTTTTTTCTTTATTTAGTAAGTTGGAGAAAGCATTGCATTTTCATGAAAAAGGTAGAGAGCTAGGAATTTAGCTCCTTCCCAATATGGACTTAACCCTTCCCCTTGCTACCATTACTATAGCGAGAGTCCTTTCTCAAATGTGAACTAAAGAAATTCTCTTCAGTTTAAGTCAAAAGCAGTTATTTGCTAAGACTGGTGTTTTGCCTTTTGTTTGTTTGGGCAATGACTTTGGGCTTGTCACTGAGTTACAAAGAGCCACCTCAGTTGTGATTTGCTGCATGTGTCCTGGTTATCCTGCTACGCCTGGCTTTTCCCAGCAGACGGTCTGAGTTGTTCAGTGTTGTTCTTTGCTGTATCCTTAAGGGATCTTTATCTCATCACGCAAAAGCCAAAAGATGTATTGACTAAGCACTCAAAAAGTCAGCCTGTGTGACCTTGAGCAAATCGCCTAGCCTAGCTCTCCTGACCTATTTCTTTGTAGCCTTTAAAAAGGAGCTCTAAATACCTTTCATCTCAAAAACCCGCACTGCCTGTCGCGCTAGTGTTGGCTCTCACCACTTTGATTTCTTTTATCGGGGG